AGGAAGGAAGGAGGGAGGGAAGGAAGGGGAGGGAGGATTGGTGAAGGAGGGAGGAAGGAAGGAGGGAGGGAAGAAGGAAGGAGGGAAGGAAGGAAGGGGAGGGAGGGTTGGTGAAGGAGGGAGGGAGGAAGAAAGGAAAGATGGAGGGAGGGATGGGGAAGGAGGGAGGGAAGGAAAGAAGGGGAGGGAGGGTTGGTGAAGGAAGGAGGGAAGAAGAGGAAGGAGGGAGGGATGGTGAATGAGGGAGAAAGGAAGGAAGGCAGGAGGAAGGGAGGGAAGGAAAGAAGGGGAGGGAGGGTTGGTGAAGGAGGGAGGGAAGAAGAAAGGAAGGAGGGTGGGAGGGATGGTGAAGGAGGGAGAAAGGAAGGAAGGCAGGAGGAAGGGAGGGAAGAAGGAAGGAGGGAGGGAAGGAAGGAAGGGGAGGGAGGGTTGGTGAAGGAGGGGGGAGGAAGGAAGGAAGGAAGGAGGGAGGGATGGGGAAGGAGGGAGGGAAGAAGAGAGAAAGGAAGGAGGGAGGGAGGGATGGTGAAGGAGGGAGAAAGGAAGGAAGGCGGGAGGAAGAGAGGGAAGAAGGAAGGAGGGAGGGAAGGAAGGGGAGGGAAGGTTGGTGAAGGAGGGAGGAAGGAAGGAAGGAAGGTAGGTAGGTCATGGTTGTCCCAAAGGTGCTTTTTCAAGACAACTGGACTTTCTAGTTTTTCAGCTGTTCCGAGCTGTAGAAGCTTCTTGGATGAGAAGTAAAACATTTTCAAAGTAAAACTAGAAAGTCCAGTTGCCTCATGAAAAAGCCCCTTTGGGGTAAGCCCTCGACTTACAACAGTTCATTTAGTGACCATTCAAAGTTACAACGGCACTGAAAAAGTAACTTATGATTGTTTTTCTACAGTTATGACCCTTGCAGCGTTCCCACTGTCACAGGATCAAAAATCAAAATCCAGATGCTTGGCAGCTGACTCATATTTATGACGGTTGCAGGGTCCCAGGCTCACGTCACCTTTTTCAACCTTCTGACAAGCAGTGTCAATGGGGAGGCCAGATTCAGTTAACAACGGTGTTACTAACTTCACAAGTGCAGTGATTCACCTAACAACGGTGCCAAGAAAAATCGTTAAAATGTGGCAAAATTCAACTTTATAACTTGGCAACAGAAGTTTTGGGATCGCTTGTACTTATAGGCACAGGACTACCTGTATTCATGCCTTCTAAAATAAGAGCAACATTAAAGGACCTAATTCATGGGGGGGAAAACCCCTGGGAACCAGAGGTGGTATTCAACAGGTTCTGACCAGTTCTGGAGAACTGGGAGCGGAAATTTTGAATAGTTTGGAGAACCGGTAAATACACCTCAGGCTGGCCTCGCCCCCATCTATTCTCTGCCTCCCGAGTCCCAGCTGATTGGGAGGAAATGGGGATTTTGCAGTATCCTTCCCCTGCCCTGCCCACCAAGCCACACCCACAGAACCGGTAGTAAAAAAAATGTGAATTCCACCACTGCAGGGAACTTACAGAGACGTGCTTCTCCAATGGTATAGGTCTTCCCCGAGCCCGTCTGGCCATAAGCAAAGACAGTGACATTAAATCCTTCCAGGAACGCTTCCACCAGCGGTTGGATACAGGTGGCATACACAGACACCTGGTCTGATATTTCGGTGAAGATTGTGTCGAACTGGAAATGTCGGGTGTGGCCCAAAGTCACTTCTTTCTTCTCAGGGTCTCCCCGGAGGCAGATCTGGTGCCCGTGTAACTGTTCCTTGGGCAACAATGGCCGAATGCGCACGGCTACCCTGACCGGGGTCTCTTCCATCAAGGGTTGGGTCTTGGCTTTCAGACCCATGACTGTCAAGGGCAGGAAGTCAGGAGAGACACAAGCCAAAAGAAGGTAGCATCTTTCTGCTAGGAGAAGAAAAAAAGGTAATGATTACAGAATAACAGAGCTGGAAGGGACCTTGTATGTCATCTAGTCCAAACCCTCCCAGCCACCCAAGCAGGAGATCCTACACCATTTTTGACAGGTGGCAGTCCAGTCTCTTCTTAAAAGCCTCCAGTAATGAAGCTCCCACAACATCCGAAGGCAACTTCTGTTCCAAGGGTTGATTGTTCTCACTGTCAGAAAAATTCTCCTTATTTCTAGGTTGAATCCCTCCTTGATCAGTTTCCATCCATTATTCTTTGCCTGGCCTTCGGGTGCTTTGGAAAATAGCTTGACCCCCCCCCCCCTCTCTGTGGCAGCCCCTCAAATATTGGAAAACTGCTATCCTGTCTCCCCTGGTCCTTCCCTT